GAGAATTCATGTAGAATGAAAATACAAGATGATCCCTGGTTGCTTCTCCTTCCTTGCAGCAGTAGGAAATGCAATTGAGGGTCGAAGTACCGGGGCCAATGGTTGATTGAAGGTGCAAGAAGCAGGATGCTCGTGAGGCGGAAGCCTGTACCGTTCTAGGAACCTGGCCTAACTTGCTCTTGTTCTACATTTCTTTCGCAGACACGCCAGAAGTCAAAGTACTAGTGTGTGGCATATCACGGAGCGTTTGGTTGCCGACTAACACTTTGTCTTTTTCTGTTTTAGAACCAGTGGCGCACAAATTCCGAAGCGACTATTTAAGGCAACAGAAGATCGAGGATTGCACGGACGACTAGCGTTGTTTGACCCACCCCTCCTTCCCTCGGTTTCCCTTGACGTGACCTTGACCGTAACCTGACGACTCGTTCTTCTCTCGCGCGAAACTGTTCCCCGTTCTTCCTGGGTGTGAGGACGCTTGTTCCCTCTGTCTTTGTTGCTGTTGTTTCTTTCGTACTTGCTCATTGATCCCACCAACACTGTGGAATAAAACTCCTACTGGTTATTGCTTCTTCTTTGTGCGTGAACTCACCTTTGCCTCGACGCCTACTACATATTTGGCGACCCTGCCAGGATCGGCAACAAGAATTACCGCTTTCCTTGTAAAATGAAAATCATGCCGAAAACTGAGGTCGAGAGCAAAGTTTCGGATGATACCGAATCTGCAGTCAGCGAGTCCACTGTGTTTGGACGAATGGTGTCGGCTCTCTTGGGGTTGTTAAACGCAGTTATTTATCGTGGTCAAGTTCGGGTACAAGCTCCACCCAGCCGTTCCCTCCCGAGAAGTTTTGTATTGGGAATGATTATGAACCATGGGAACGACAAGCCCGATGGTACGTTGACAGGTTCCCCGAAAATGAAAGGGCCGCTGCACTTTCTAGCCTCCTGAGCAACGATGCCTATCATATTGCAGCTTCGAAAGATATTATTGGAGATGTGGTGAACGGAACAACGTTTGCCCAGTTGAAGGAAGCCCTGCATCCGTCCCTACATGAGTAGGAATACGGTCGACAGCTCCACGCTCGTGTTCAATGACACGGGGAACAGTTCAGCACATTTGTCGCTGCGCTGCGGAAACTTGCCATATTGGCTTACCCAAATGCCGACAAGGCCAGTCGTGAGGAGAAGATCTTTCTCCAGGCTCTTCAAGGCACGACTAACATTGACATTAAGCAGGATTTCCTGGAGAAGCCACCTGCCACTTTGCAAGAAGCTGTGGACTCCGCCACTCGTCGGGAGAAAATCTTGGCTGTGATCGCTCGGGAGGAACCACGGTGAGTATCGGATTACACTGAATTGGTATCGGTTGTTCGGCCTCGTGAGCAACAACGGAGAGGTCAACGCAATTTTTCTGACAATCGGCCCACCCAGTGGAATAACGTTCCTCGCTTTACCAAGGAATCGCCTGTAGGACCTCAAATGGATTGCCCCTATTGCCGCAGATTCGGAAGATTTGCCTACAGTTGCGGACATAACCGACGGGGTGAGTCTCAGTGTTTGTTTAAGGTTCCTGCCGTTACGTTCGCCAATGTCATCTCAGCTCCTGTTGCGTCAGGTTTTGTGTGGCCTAAGCGTGTTGGCATGCTAATTGACACTGGGGCTACATGTTCTCTGGTCCATATACGTGTCGTACCGAGAGGAGTCTCTGTACATACCGACAGATCTGTCAGTCTGATAGCAGCCAATGGTTCTTCTATTGATCCAGTAGGCTGGATTACTGCTACTGTTTCGCTGGGCGGCATTTCTACCAGTCACCGCTTGCTCATATTTGGTACACTACCATGGGACGTGATACTTGTGGTTGACTTCCTTTTTGTGCACTATGCGAGAATCGACCACGTCAACAAAACACTCGAAATCGGTAAGCAAATAATGTCATTTGATTCGACTATTGCTTGCAAGTCTTCGTGTATGGTAGAAAACACACCCGTGCAGAAACTTATTCGTAATGTTCCTCCGGACATCCCATCCTCAGCCCACGATAAATTAAAGGAAATTTTGAACACGTATCAGCATGCTTTTGCGTGGACAGAGGGCGATCTCGGTCGGTGCAGTTTCATGCGACACCGCATTGATACTGGCAATGCACCACCGATTCGCCAAGCGGCCAGGCGTGTGCCAGTGCATTTTCAGGAGGAATCGAAATGTATGATCGAAGATATGCTTAGACAGGACATAATCCGACCGTCCAATTCCCCGTGGGCTTCTCCCATAGTTTTGGTGAAGAAAAAGAGTGGTGACTTACGTCTATGTGTCGACTACCGGAAATTAAACGCAATCACACGAAAAGATTCGTTCCCACTGCCCCGAATAGACGACACCATGGATGCTCTTGCAGGTTCGCACTGGTTCACTACGTTAGATTTAGCTTCTGGTTATTGGCAGGTGGAATTACATCCTGACGATCGATGTAAATCAGCATTTGTTGTTCCATCTGGTTTATATGAGTTCCAGACGATGCCGTTCGGGCTCACGGACGCCCCAGCTACGTTCCAGCGACTGATGCACACAGCATTGTCAGGAATGATACCCTAGTCTTGTCTAGTTTACCTGGATGACATCATTGTCCACGGAAGAACGGTAGCTGAGCACAATCACAATCTGAGTTTAGTGTTGAATCACCTGATACAACTGGGATTAAATCTCAAACCCTCTAAATGTCATTTCTAAAAAATGAAGTAGCTTATTTAGGCCACATCGTTTCTGGTAATGGAGTACGCTGCGATCCAGAAAAAGTTGAGCGTGTCCGTTCGTGGCCCATCCCAAAGAATACCGATGAAGTACGCAGCTTTCTTGGGCTCGCTTCTTATTATCGGCGCTTTGTAAAGCACTTTGCTACTATTGCCACTCCGTTGAACGAAATCCTGAAAGCAAACCAAGCGTTCACATGGGGCGAAGCTCAGCAAAAAGCATTTGAATGTCTTCGAAATTCGTTGTGTGAAGCACCGGTACGGGCGTTTCCGTATACGCGTCTATCTGCGGGACCCTTTATATTAGACACCGATGCCAGCAACACAGGCATCGGAGCTGTACTTTCGCAGCGGACACCAGATGAAAAGGAACCAGTGATTGCCTATGCGAGCCGAAGTCTTTCACAACGTGAACGCAATTATTGTGCAACACGTAAGGAAATGCTTGCTTTGATATTTTTTATCAAACAATTCCGCCATTACATTCTTGGCCGTAAGTTCATCGTGCGCACCGATCATCAATCATTGGTTTGGCTGCAAAATTTCCGAGACCCCGAAGGCCAGATTGCTCGGTGGCAAGAACAGTTACAGGAATACGTTTTTGGGTGCCAGCATCGGCCGGGATAAAGCACGGGAACGCTGACGCTTTATCACGAAGACCTAACAGAAAGCATGGGTCATGTCCGTCGTGCACAGCTGCGTGCGTGTCCGCCGTTATTTTCGATGAATCCGAGACCGTGGAATGGGTCCGCATGCAGTCGACCGACCCAGAATTGAGTATCCTGTACAGTCGCATCGTTCAAAACGGGGACCGACCAACACAACAAGAACTGGCTGGCGCCAGTTGGAAAACGAAATGCCTGTGGTCTCTATGGCCTCATTTACGAGTAATAAATGGCATCATATATTTTCAAAACGGACCCAGTTATTTACGCAGAATAATCGTTCCAACAGTCGCGACCCAAGAAGTTATGAGACGCATACACGAGGAATTACGCCACGCAGCACAAAACAAAATGGAGGCTGCAATCCGACGTCGTTTTTGGTGGCCTCATTTGCGACGTGATATCGCCATTTACTGCCAAGCATACCCTGACTGTGCAAGAATCAAGCACTCTACAAATCCCCGTGGTGGTCCGCTTCAGCCGATGACAGCTGGGTTTCCTAACGCGATAGTGGGCATTGACATTATCGGCCGCTTACCAGAAACAGCACGAGGCCATCGCCATGTCTTGGTTATGGTTGATTACTTTACAAAGTGGTGCGAAGTCGTACCGCTGCGTAATGTGGACGCGTAGAGCACAGCGAAGGCTTTCTTTAGCGACTGGGTGGCAAGGTGGGGAGCACCTTACCAGTTACATTCGGACCGAGGAGTAAATTTTGAGAGTGTACTAATGAGGGAAATGTGTCACATATTTGGAATTCGCAAGACGCGCACGTCGGCGTATCACCCGGAAGGGAACGGTTTAGTTGAACGCACCAACCGTACGTTGAAGATGCTGTTAAAGTCATTTTTGAATGAGGAGACGCCCCGAGAATGGGACACGAATTTACCCAAATGTATGTTGGCGTATCGCGCCTCTGTCCATTCCGCCAAGGATCAGACACCACACCTCATGATAACGGGGCGCGAACTACGACTACCTCGTCTACCGTCGTACATTTCAACCGACTAAAACCGGCGGAGAAATCCATGGCGCTGAGGACAGCGCCTGACGATGAGGGGGAATAAAGGAGCATATCACGGAGCGTTTGGTTGCCGACTAACACTTTGTCTTTTTCTGTTTTAGAACCAGTGGCGCACAAATTCCGAAGCGACTATTTAAGGCAACAGAAGATCGAGGATTGCACGGACGACTAGCGTTGTTTGACCCACCCCTCCTTCCCTCGGTTTCCCTTGACGTGACCTTGACCGTAACCTGACGACTCGTTCTTCTCTCGCGCGAAACTGTTCCCCGTTCTTCCTGGGTGTGAGGACGCTTGTTCCCTCTGTCTTTGTTGCTGTTGTTTCTTTCGTACTTGCTCATTGATCCCACCAACACTGTGGAATAAAACTCCTACTGGTTATTGCTTCTTCTTTGTGCGTGAACTCACCTTTGCCTCGACGCCTACTACAGTGGCCTAGGTTTGCTTTCTTATGCAAGAAGCAGGACGCTTGCTTGGTTGGAGTTTATTTTCAGCCTTGGAAATACCTGGCCTGACCTTACCTCGCGTGACCTTCAACAATGTACGAATTCTCATCGTCTACACGTAGTTGGATATACCTGGTGTTATGTTCAGCTATAGTGTTGATCTCTTGGGGTTTCGTGCTGTGGTCCGGGATATCTGTCACTGAAAGCACTTTGTTCGCTCAAAAGTAATTTTATAAAAAGAGTCATGGAGGTTGAACACAAAAGCGCCAAGCTTCTAACCAACTTGGAGGTGCTGCAGCTTATTAACTCCAGATTCGGATCGAAAAAGAAAATTCGAACACAACAAACCCTGCTCTATACTTGTTCAAAATATTTGAAGTCCTTAACTCCATGTCATACGCAGACGTCCGAAAGCATCTCCGCCTTTGCTAAAGCTGCTAAACCGTTCAAACTTTCGAAGCTTGAGCTCTCTATGCTGATAAATCACTGTCCGTCGACACTCGTTGAACTTTCCGTCGTAAGTATTCTGTGCGTTTTCGGGCACGTCTTTTGCTCTTCATAAATAACACTTCGTGTTTTTCAATATATATATATATATATATGTATACATACATAATTTTTGCCACTCTTAGTAATTCATTTCCGCTTAATGTAGATTTACATGGATTAGTTTTCATAAGCGCGGTTTTCACGCTTTTCCGGTCATTTCTGCCAGAACCGCCATGTGAGCGCTTGTTGAACAATCTGTGACCTTTTGCATGACACGGTCGACTGAAAAATGCTCGCAGGGATGACCGTTGGAACTCTCTGAGTGACTAATTTGCTAGTTGCACGCAAATGTTGGGCGGATGCTTTGGATCGGGGTCATGCAGTAGATGTCGTGTTTATTGACTTCTCCAAGGCGTTCGACACTATCACATTCTCGCCTTTCCTTGAAACTTCGGTCCTATGGAATATCCGGGGGTATACTAAAATGGATCACCACGTTTCTGGAAGGGAGAGAGATGTGTGTTCGTGTCGGGTCTAGTCTGTCCTTCCGACAGTCAGTCCTCAGTGGGGTCCCTCAGGGTTCGGTGCTTGGCCCGTTGTTATTTTCCTTGTATGTCAACGAGCTGCCCGAACTGCTGGACGTACCATCTCTCATGTTTGCAGATAACCTAAAGTTTTGGCACATAGTGTCTGACTTCGATGGACCCCAGATTCTGCAACGGGCCCTCGATCAACTTTGGGATTGGGCTGCTCTGTGGCAGTTACCCATAAACTATGCAAAGTGTTCCATCTTACGAGTAGGGCCAAATAGCCCCCAAACGCGTTATTTTCTTGGCGGTAATGAACTCCACCATGTTACCCAATTGGTAGACCTAGGGGTCACATTGTCTTCAGAACTTAAATCCAGTGAGAACTGGAGGAAAGCTACGTGCAAGGGTTTCAGAATGTTGTGGATGATCCGCAGGGCATTCGGGACCATCACGGGCGCTATGTTTGTTAGGTTATTCTCAGCGTTTGTCAGGCCACACTTGGAATACTGCATCCAGGCTTGTCCACCTTGCTTAGTCAGGGACAGGATGTCAGTGGAGAGAGTGTTGAGAGTTGGAACCAAACTGGTCCATGGACTGCGGAACCATTCTTACCCAGAAAGACTACTTGCGCTGGGAATGTTCTCGATGCACTATCGTCAACATCGAGGCGACCTAGTCTTGACCTATCGTATACTTACCGGTAAAACCGAACCCGATTTATCCGGGCTTTTCCAACCGGCTCGGCTTCCATCGCTCCGAGGTCACTCGCTGAAGCTACACAAACCTCGATCGGATGGAGTCCGGGCGGACTTTCGTTTATCACGCCGAGTGGTGGATTCCTGGAATGCACTGCCCGAAAACGTGGTATTGGCACCAACAGTGAAAGAGTTCGAACACCGACTCGACGCTCTTGGCCTTCAATTCTTAACATTCCCCTTCACTTCCTAGTTTATTCGTTTTATTGAATTATTAAATCTATTTTTTTCTTCTTGACGCTCTTATTACTTTCGTACTTTTTTTCTTATTTCACGTGACCGGTGCGGCGGGGACCGCCAGTGCAGGTCGCGTGGGTATTAATTGGTTGACCGTGGGGTGATTCACGCGCGCTGATCTGACTCTTCTGGATTCCAGTTATCGCGGACGAATAATACCCTGGATCAACGACGCGTCACGGAAGGAACATTCACGGGGATTTATCCTACTGTTCCGGTCCCACTTGAACTTGAACTTGACCGTCCATATGCTCCTGGCCTTCCCACAGGACGAATTCCGACAACAAAATTTTTCTAGTCCAGTCTTAAGACATACTCTTCAGGTGGTGCTAGAACACTGAAATTCCCGTGTATGTTCCTTTGCGAGGGCATCGACCGTAATATCGGCATTCTGTGAGAGCTAAAGTAACGTGATAAATTGATGCCCACGTGACATACACTAGCAGTCCCGGCTTCGCGGGCCACGTTAAGTAAGGTTAAAATACGGAGTAACAAAGATGTGAAAATAATTAGAAGTAGAGAAATGCTAACTAAGGAAATAATTAATCGTGTGGTTTAGATGTGGAATGGAAACTTTGTAAACCTTAGTTCAAGGGCATAGAGTCTATACTCGATTCCCTTCACTGTTTATGGTGGTACCACTTCCTCAGATAACCCATTCAAGGAATTAACTATTCGGTGTGACATTCGAGCGTTGGCCCAAGCACCATCACATCGTGGTTTGTGCAACTTCATCAAATAACTAGGGAGGGACGTTAGCAAATTGGGCTTAACAAACCAAGATAAATCAGCGCCGATCTTCCCTGTCGGTACGCGGAAAGTCCGAATCAACTCGCCACGATGTCGGTAATAGTGAAGCGAACACATTCCGAGCTTAAGGAATCTCTCGGAATATAATTGACACCATTTTAATGCCAACCCTAAGGACTCGCTCCACTGACATCTTCTCACGAATCTAGGTTGAACGCAATATTCTAGGTGCAGTATGTGAACCATCCACAGCATTCTGAAACCGTTGCCGTTGGCTTTATTCCAGTACACGCGGGAATTGAAAGTGGGTGACAGAACAACACCCAGATCCGCTAGCTGGGGAATCTGAATTAGTTCATTTCCTCCTAGCAGATAACGTGTGGAAGTATCACTCGACCCTTAGCAAGTACTAAACTTTTGGTGTAACTAATAGGCATCTGCCACAGAGTAGACCAATCCCAAAAATTATCAAGGGCCCGTTGTAAATCCTGAGACCATTGGAGTTTGTCACTGGGCACCAGCACTTTAAGTCATCGGCAAACATAAGGGATAGTGGACTGAAAACTTCGGGTAACTTTTACATACGGAGAGATCAGCAGTGGGCCAATAACTGATCCCCGTGGAACCCCGCTAAGACGGACTGTTGGAATAACGGGCTTGAATCCATTCGGACGGACATCTCTCGCCTTTCCGGAAAAGCTGATATCCATCTGAATACATACTCAGATAATCCATCTTCAATGGCACAAGCATTTGGGACAGTATCAGATGCTTTAAAGAAGTCGATGTAGAAAGCATCTATCGCCTGACCTTGATCCACAGCGTTCACTCAGCATTCACGTGCCATCAGCAAATTGGTCAGGCAGAAGTTGGTTTTACGAAAGACGTTGCAGTAGAGTGAGCAAACCGAATGTCTTCAAATGGTTCTTAAGTGCATCTCTTATCAGCTTTTCTAACAGTTTGACCAGAACACTCGTCAAAGGCACAAGTCTGGAGTTCACAGATAGATGTTTGTCGTCCTTTTTAAAAACCGGGCAGACGACAGCCGCATCCCACTCCTTACGGAGAGAGCAACTCCGAAGCGACGTCTCGGATAAACAAATGATGGGCCCAGACAACTCACTTGCCAGTTCGTACAAGAGCTTGTGGTGAATCGCATCCCCATAAGCAGCTTTGCTAGGATTTATCTCTCTCTAAAGATGGAGGACCTGAGCCTCGGACACAGAGATATCAATTGGAAGTGAGTATAGTGGTGTTATCTTGGCTGTATCCACAAGCGGCAAATCGGTCCCTCGAACAAATGCATGCGCATGCTGCACGACAGGTACGGTAGCCATTTTATAACCGTTTGTGCGGCAGTGCCGTCAGCCCTGAACACCGGCGTAAACTGCGTCTTTCAGCATAAACGAAGAATCGCTTTGGATTCACAGAAGCTAAATTTGCTAGCTCAAATTTTCAAAGGAGCCGAGCGTCTTGTATGGTTTTGCACTTCTTGTTATCCCCTAAGTGTCATCCGAGAAGGCTGCCAACTCCTGCCATATCTGTTGAGCAACTGGCGTGCGAACGAACCATGTTGGCTTTGCTCTCATCTCCTTTCTCATTGGCAAAGGGACGTGAAGAAGAGAAACAGACGTAGGATTTAGATTTATTCCAAGCTAACTGTGTATCTTCCATCGCAATGAGGCTGGACCTTACCGTGGTGCGATGGCTTGCGTGCCTCAGAGATCCTTTGAGCTATGCTGGGTGGTGCTTTTGCACCTTCAGAGCCACTCATACCAGATTGGTCAATGGTTAGAGGCCAGACAAACTCAGCCTCCTGGTCCTGCAGGTTGGGGGTTGGAATGGGGGTGGCTCCTCATTTCATAAAACGGGCTCCTCAGTCCAGTGCCAAAACCCGCTGCCTTGCGGTAAGGTTTTTGAACCAAAGGCTTTGGTTGAGAACCCTAATCGTTCTCCTGTCTAGGCCTGGGCAACCTGACAGTATTCTGCCCACGCAATACAATGAAACTTTCCTACAACAATTTCTTGATGCTCTGGCCGTCGCAGAGGATAATCAACGGCGCCCTATCTGCTGCATCGAGCAGGGTGGATAGGGGTATGGATGCTACTGCTCAGGCCTTCCCGTCTTCTTATACCCCTTCTTGCGCTTCTTCATCCTTATCGTCCCGCTCCAACTTTACTTATATCCCCCCATTTTCAATCCCCCAATTCTTGGCCCTCCCCCAACTTTCTTCAGTGGTCGCTTGCCTTCTAAGTTCAAATCACACACAATCCCAGGGCCTCGCTCCAATCCAGTTGACAAGTCCATGTTCAAGCAAGCGGACAACGTCAGTTCATCCGTTTCCCTTTGGAGTCCTCGCGTCTCGCTAAGACTGGCATGCTTCAACGTGCGCACTTTGCTGTAGATTGGCCAACAGGCAGCACTTGCCCGCACACTAGAGACCCTATCGATCAGTATTTGCTGTTTATCAGAAACCCGCCTGCAAGATTCGAGCTCCGTACTTACCCTGAGATCCCCCACATGCGACACTGGCGGCACATTCTCATTGCGCCTGTCTGGCGATGATGCAGCTTCAAATGCCGGTCAAGCTGGCGTCGGCATTGTTTTGAGTCCCCGGGCTAAAGCTGCCCTGATTGATTGGATCCCAGTAAACAGTAGGATGTGCCGTTAGATTAGCTGGTTCCTTCCGTGCTACGAAGTCGCGCGGGGACAAACGGTGCCTGTTTGTCATTGCGGCTTACGCCCCTACAAACTG